CCCGACCAGCGTGATGCCACGGGGGAATCTGAAGACACCTGTGTGCCAAAGGTTGAAGCCGCAGCCGGGGAAGGCCCCGAAAGCCCTGGAACCAACAACCCTCGGGACGAAGCGGAGGCGGCTTCCTCAACTGGACTTCACCCAACCATCGACATCTTCGATGTGGACCCCGAGGAGTACGACCAACATCGCCCCCTCCAGCAACCATACGAATGCAAGGAGGAGGAACAGACGGACAGCTACGTCGCAGGGGAGAGCCTCTCTCTGCTATCTACTCCAAGGCAGAAGGAAGCAGACAGGGAATACGGACAACACCTGCAAGACCTCCACGACCTCCAGGCCGGTGACCTCGAAGTCAAAAGTGAAGCAAAGGAAGAACCTATAGGGGATGATCCCCTTCGCGCACTACCTACAGAACCGGATGGACCGCCTCCGAGCCTTACGGAAAGACAGCGACGGCGACTACAGCAACTCTTCGAAGACGGGGACATCACCCGCCTCTCCGCCACTGAGACGGATGCTATGGTTTGGCGAAGATACAGAACACAACAGAAACAGGACTACCGGTCGCGTAGAAGGGACAAGAGACGCACCGGGGACTGGCAACCCGACCGCAGGCGAGCTGGTGATGATCGTCGGGAGCAAAACGAGGACTACTGAACAGGGTTACCTGTGGGCGAGCACTACGCCTTTCTGAGCAGCCTTGAAAAGTGAGCGGCCCAGATGTTTTTTCCTCATTTCATAATTCGTCCAAGTCCGCTTTTCGATTCGGCCCGCTACATGGCGGGGGATTCCCTGTGACCTTCTGTTTGCAGAGACCTTGTTGCCAGTGTGAGTACAAGCTACAGGGGCACTCTGGTCCATTCGATCAGTGCTAACTAGGGGGTCTTTGAGCCCCTTCTTCTCCGATGTTTGATGTAGAGTTCACTTGAGCCTAGGCTCGGTTGTACGATATGACGGGCCGCTGAGCCAACCTCCATTTCGCTCCATAGCCCCTGATGGGCTCCCTGTACCCTTTTCCAGACGCTCCAAAGGGGCTGTAGCCCCTCTGAAGTCTTTTACCTCACTCTTCAAAGGGGCTTTGCCCCCTGCATGATGGACGGACGGACCTTTCTGTGCGATCTGGGGGTAACCCCTTCAATCCATTCGATTGCGCTTTCCCTCTTTTGCTTCTTTCACTATTGGCACCCGCAAATGGCGGGGGCGCACCTGCGCGCGGTGTAGGGGGTCTCCCCCTGCACCACAACCCTGTGGAAAGAAAGAAAGAGAGAGAGGGGAGAGAGAGCGAGAAAGACCAACAACATATCAGAAATATAACACGAAGCCGAGCGGGAATTGAGGATCGGATGGAAGGGAGGGAAGGAGGGAGGGAGCGAGGGAGGAATTGATTCTGATTCTCAAGGCCCCAAAATCATACTTCCCCCCCTCCCGGCAGGCTTGAAGACTCTCTACGAGGTCAGGGAAGAGCTTCAGGCCCTGCTTCTGTGTGTGAAAAGGTCAGGGGTACGCTTGAACTAGCATAGCGTGCTGTTCTGTGGGGTCCTACGATAAGTTCTACATCAGTTTGAATCATAGTGCCTGGGACATGTATGTGACAATCTATGCTTTGCTTGAATTAATCATCTGGGGATCCTTGTAAAATGCGGTTCTTCCAGAAAAAATGTTTGGGCCTAGGTAGCGCCCGAGGGAGTTTCCCAAGCCAAGATGCCAGTTTTGGACCGTAGCTACAGCCCTGGACCGATGCGCTGCCTGAAGGCCTGGGTTGTTGGGCTCAGGGTCTCGGGTGCTCCCCACTCCAAGTTCTGGCAAGTCAGTCAGACGGTAAACTGGCACACCGTCTGATGCCAGACATGAGGAATCTGAAGAAGTCCGATTATCTCACGGTGGCTCACCAACAATTGGCACGCTTTGACATGCTTTGTCAATAGCATACATGTGACCCATTCTCATCGTCCACTCGTAGCTCTGCCAAGGGTCTCCGAGAATCCGTGAAAGCCTGTTTGAAGGATTACTGTAGGGGCCTGAATAATTACCTATACTATTTTGGGGGTTCCTCCGTATAAATAATATTATACCCCCCAAAACCATGTTCTAATTATTCAGGCCCTGTCAGTAGAGGCCTTGGTGAGCAGACTAAAGGGCTTGTCGTTTTACGACCTTTGGCCCCCTAAACTAACGCAGCAATACCCATTCTGTCGCCTCAACCCAGTAGCCACACAACCTACATTAGCACCATGTCCGAAAAAACCTATCAGCCCTAAACCCTCAGCCCTAAGCCCTAAACCCTAAAACCCTAAAGCCCTAAAGCCCTAAAACCCTAAACCCTAAACCCTAAGCCCAAGGCTGTAAACCCTAAAACCCTACACCCTAAACCCTAAACCCCACACCCTAAACCCTAAACCCCACACCCTAAACCCTAAACCCTAAAACCCTAAAGCCCTAAACCCTGAACCCGGAACCCAACACCCTAAAACCCCAAAGCCCCAAAGCCCAGAACTGGCCCATAACCTTCGCTTTTCAGGGCCAGGAGATGCAGCAGAACCTGAAGACGAAGCCTTGGAAAGATCCTCAGGTGCGGCTTCTAGGGTGGGTTTAGGGTTTAGGGTTTAGGGTTCAGGGTTCAGGGTTTAGGGTTTAGGGTTTAGGGTTTAGGGTTTAGGGCTCAGGGTTCAGGGTTTCGGGTTCAGGGTTCAGGGTTTAGGGTTTAGGGTTTAGGGGGGTTCGGCGGCCTTGCTTCAGTGGCTATAGAGGCTCATTTTTAGCACCCTCGATGGGCTTAGAATGGCAATCAG